CATTAACATTGATTGAAATGACTATGTGGGTTCATAATTACAAAAACAAACCCACATAAATCTGCTGCTTTTTCAATTGAACTTTCTATTAGCTTCTTTTGGCTCATTATTTTTGTTCTACATTTACTGTAGAGTTCAGTCTCTGTGCTCTAATGAACCCAGTTTTCTGCAGCAGAATATAGCTTGTTTTAGCAAACAAGCTCTGATAAACCCACTATATGTACCATTACCTGACCAATGCCAAAAAGCAGACAGACGAAGTTAGCAACTAGAAGTCAGAGCATACAGCAGCTAAGAGGCAGATCTTTTGGTAGGAGTTGGTGAAAACAGAGCCAGAGAGAATAATGGATTTATATTTTTCAGGTGGCCAAGCATAATTCTAAATGAATGCCAAATGTCTCTGTGTCTGCTGGATAATATGCAATGGTGTACTAATATGTTAGCCATAGTGATTTTACCAGGTGATAATGTGTCAGGAGTGTGTTTCCTTCAGCATTTTTTCTGTCCCCTTGTGGCCAAAAAAGTATAAACCACAGAAAAATACCACTACTTTAATTTTTGGTTGCGTATTTATCCTATTCCTGCCCATAAGCAGTCAAGTTTTAATATTTTACAACTATCACAACCACCACCAAGAGATGCACTGTTTCAAATACCAATGCTGAAACCAAAATTTTAAATCTGTATATCTCACTGCGTGGAACTCATCAAAATCATGAAACCAGGCATTGCTGTGGCTCTGAGTTGGTGAGCCACTATAACTGAATTTATGCAACTGATTTTACAAGGAAATTGATAAAGAAACTGTATTTAATCAGTCAGGTCATGGGCGATACCTGATCCACTAAAAAAAGCCAGTATTGGAATAAGGATCAGGGTGAATCCCAAACATCAACACTGTTACTCCTTTACCATCAGAGTAAGCTTTGAAGTCCAGACCCACCATCTGGCACTAACATTCAATAACCATACAGACAGAAATCCATCTCAGAGGAGACAGACGGTCCAGTTTCTTCACACTGACAATAGTGACAATGAAGCCAGATGCTAGACCTAGACCCATGCTTTTCTCAACTGGAAAATCCTTAATTGCCATTAGTCTTCCCTTTACACAAAAAGCTCACAACTAAATGCAAAAAGGCATGCAGATGTGAACTCTTGAAAGAAAATATAAGAGACCACACACCATCTGTTGCAGAGAAAGCTGGGTGAGGAGAATGTGGACGACTAAGCAAAAACAAAACCCACGAATTTAGTGTAGTAACATTAACTTTCAATTTCTAGCAATGTTAAGAACATCTGAAACTAGACTTTTATTCTAAAGATGAGATCATTCTACTGCAGTGAATAATGAAGCCAAGTACAGAAGGACTACTTTAAAAATCTATTCAACTGGATGGAAAAGTTAATCAGTAAATAATTACCTAGTGAGAAATGATAATCAGCAGTCAGCTTAATCTCAGTGCTGTAGTCTCAACACTGTAATTACTTTGGGGTAACTTTGCTCTAGAGCCCTCAAAAATAAAAGGAAAATGGCTCTTTAGTTCCAATCAGTGATTTGAAATGCTTTTCTGACATTATCAACAGCAAAACCATGATTAGTTACAGTTTAAAATGACTGATGGTGTAAAAACCGATAAGAACAATAATATCATTCTCTATAATCAGAGGATTTCTTCTAAACAGTTTTGAAGTAATAATCAAGACACTTGTATCACATTTGACCTTTAGTTTGACAAGTTTTTTATCATCAGTCATGACTCTCTTGTGGAAGAATTCATCATGTCTAATTATTTTAAATATATTTTTTTTCACAATCAATAATAATTATAATTATCAATAATTATAGCATCCAGTGTCCTGTTTTCCAACTTAATGTAACTGATGACAGCTACCATTTTTAAACAGATTACACGTAATCAGCTGTTTGCCAAAACAGGTCGATATAAAATCAGCAGTGGATGCCCTTTTCAGTCTGCTGGGCCTTTTAATAGGACATGATACTGGCCCCCCCATCCTGATGAATCTAATCTACAGACACACCAGTTTGCCTGTGTGAAGGGCCCCTGCAGTTTAACGCTTCCTCAAATTGCTCACACCTTCCCTCTGCAACTGTGAGGAACCAATCACCACTAACTCGTGCTGGGAAAAATATACATACCACCCCTCAAGTAGTGAGCCGTTTATGTTTATGATTATTACTTCTTGCCAGCCAATTACTGCCGTGTATATAACACTATTCACCATATGTAAAACAGTACTAACCCTCTGCCATGTTGCAAATGGTGAGGTAGGCTGTGTTCATTTACTGCCTACCACTTAGAGAAGAATAATATGCAGATGAACCTGGTCAACTAATTACAGTAATGATTGCAAAATGTTCAGAGTCGTGCGGGCAGATAATCACTGAAGCATCACAAGACTGAGCAGTAAATATGCTAATTTAAATCTGAAGTAAATAGAAACTTGTTTTTTTCTCTCTTTTTTTAATGCACGAGTTAACTCAGTTTTCTCGGTTAACAACATGCAAAAACACAGCATGCTTATCTTGCATACACCGACTTCATACACCTCGTTTCATCAGAAAGACACATTAGATCGGACAGAAATTATTGCAGCCTCGGACACCACGGGCATTTTTAAAGCCTTGTTTGGCCTGGCAAGTTGTAGAGAAGCATCTTTTTATTTGCAGCAGGAACTCGGGGAAAAGAGCTGCATGCAAACCCACGCGCACACACAATACGTGAATAACAGCCAATATGTGCTTTTAAATCGAAAGGTCCTCAAAAAGAGAGTGGGCTGTCAAGTGTTGGTCCTCAAAAGTATATCTAAGCCAGTCTACACACACAAACACCTGGGAGTGAGTGTTGTTGGTAAGCGTGTCCTAGGACAACTTGGCAGAAAATGCAGAAGGAACTGATGCTGCCTTCAACTTCTCCAGGAAAGCATCACATTCGAGTGCTCTTAGTAACAAAATACAACCCATTAATCAAATTTTTTTTGTTGTTTTTTACGGTGTCTGATGTTTTACTTAAAATTCAAAAGGTGCAGCACTACTTTGCATGACAAATGAGACGACACCAAAGATGCATCACTCAAAATATTAAAGCAACATACAGTCGCAAATATTTACACTAAATGCCAAACATGAACATACAATAATAAATCATATCAGTCTTACATGAATTGACTTGGCGTGCATCCGGTCCTGTGCCTCATCTTGACATCTTCGCAACTCAAATTTAGTAGCAAGTTCCAAACTTCCCATTTGTATTTCCCCTAGAATCATTCTGGTGCACCCAACTCCTAACATTTCTGACAGCACTTTAAGACTCATTTGCTCCTTGTACGTTGATTCCCCCCCTGTGGATCAAACCGACCACCTTCCTCTTCCCCTCTCTAACCTCCAGGCAGTTCCTTTGATCCCCCCACCCCCCTTCTCTCTGCGTCTGCCACCCTGTGTGGCTGATGGACACGATCATGAGGTCCTGGGTGAGAGACTCTCTGCCGTTTTGACACATCTATTTGACAAGGTGAGAATATCTGCGGAGAAAAGACTAGGACTGACTGCATCCCTCCTCCTCACATCTTGCTTTCACTTACCCACCCGGCTCATGTCATGAGTGACAGCACAGTGGGGCGACACGTGTTTTACATATGATGTGAAAAGTGCGAGAAGACAGGGGAACATAATAGCATCACTGTCTTTGGACAGGAGTGCTGCAAGTGTGTTCAGGGTTCGAGGTGGTGGAACATCTTGTTTGGGAGCCTAAGAATTTCCAGCGTACTCCCAGCATGCAAGGCTGCTTTCAGTGTGCCTCATGAGTGGCTGAAATCACAGCTGCAGCAAAGGGAAATGGAGTCTGAGATGTAGAGCTGTCATCATCGGTGTTATAAATCTCACAAATACAAATCCTTCCATCCGTACGTCCTGTTTCCATCCCGCATTCACTCTGCAGAAAGGTTTTTTCCCTCTCCACGGTGGGGGAATTTTGCAGAACAGAGTGCAGCAGAATCAGAAAAAGTCAGTTTGTACTACAGATGAATTTTAAATTAGACCAGCAAAATACAGCACTGACATTAGAAATGACTTGCACCAGCTGGCACAATGAGAGGTGTACAGGTAACATGATTAATAGATTTGGGGAGACAAAAAGCTGAGTGTGTGTATGTGTCTGTGTGTGTTTGCAGTGCTGGTGGTCGTTGCTCATGAATTCAGTGCTTGATTTGATCATGCACACCACTTTGTTTGGGCAGTTATATGGTTTTACACACAAACACGAGCAAATGCGCGTGCACATACACACGCACGCACAAAACACTCCGCTCTGCCCTCACACACACAGACAGACAGACAACACAATTTACCTGCAAAGGCAGGTGCACACGCGCGTACGTCTCACACGCGCGCAAAACTAACCACACAAGCTGGTGCACGCGCGCGCACACACACACACACACACACGAACACACACAAACACTTTGACACACACTTGTCTGCATTGGCATTTTCGCAGTCAAACTGGGGACCAGCAGCAGCAGCGGCGGCGGCTTTAGTGGCAAAAAACATTTGTTAGGCTCTCTTTCCTTTCGTCTTCTGTCCTCTCATTTGAATATACGGGGAGTATTAATGGGGCTGCTGCCTGTAGGGTAACACAGAAATTGGCGACTCCCGCCGCTTCATTACTGTCAGTCACCCATCAGATGATATTTTGCGGTCTATTTGTGTGGTCCTTTAAAAAATCACAGCATCCCTGCTCTGCCCGGGACCCTGCGTGCATCCGTCCACATTAACACAACTGGCTGATCTTGCAGGAAAATAAAATATCTCATCATGCAACTTTGACAAAAAGCAAGCGTTAGACAAGACGTGCACTAATGAGCATGAAGCTCAGACTGAAAACAGATCTAACACGAGCTGCAGCGATCCGCAGAACAACGCATTCATATTGTACAAGTTCAACTATACTGAATTACATTCCAAGTGTTGTTCAACTTACCAATAAGAGCCAGCTGCAAGAAGTACAGTCCGAGGAAGTCCATTATGGAGTGCGACATTAATTCAAATGGTTGCAATCCTGGGCGAGTGATGATGTGCGTGAATAAAAGCCCTCTGTTTGTTGAAATTGGCACCGATATTAAGACCGAAAGAATCGCAGCTATTTCTCAAGTGATGACTGGCCACTTACGCTGACGCCGGAATCCACAGCATTGCATGAAAAAACAGAAGCGGAGCAGAGCATCATTTTTTAACAGTCAAACTTTTGTGATGGAGGAAAAATGGGTTACAGCTGCGCCAAATCAAGCCAGTGGTTCCAAATCAATGCAACACCGAGGGGGACTGGAAAAAACAGTTCGTTCCTTATGTGGAATAGATCTTACGCGTAATGAACATCCCTAGCCGTTTCATCCGTCCGTCCTCAGCGGCTGCTTCCTCTCCTCTTCGCCTCCACCTGCGCACCGTCTGGAAACTGCGGATGAATCACAGGGGCGCGTTGCTTTGCGCACTCCGACCTGCGAGTCACACAGTCCCTGTGATCCTCTGCTCCCAGGCGGGTCGGCCGGAGATGCCCAGCCCAGCTCGTTTAAAAATCCAATCTTGGCCAAAGTTGAAATAGGACAAGTTAAATCGATAGCCTATTTCATACTGCCATAAAATGGAAACAATAAACCTGCGTAAAATGGTGCATAGTCTGTACGGGTGGGTAGACCATATCCACACTTCTCCGAAAGTAGGTTATTCCCCTCCAAAAAAAAAAAAAAAAACTTGCATGGGAATCATTGATTTGGAGGCAGTTGAGAAAATATTTTAGGGGCCCTACAGCAGCAGTCGCAGCACAAGACGAGCAGGCAGTAAAAACAGAGCCAGGCTGACTCACAGTGTCTGTGCCTCTTAATGGTAAAAACAAGGAGACCATCTTGCAGCCAGCATGGGCTGTTTGAGGCTACCTGCTGTCTAATGTGCTCATGCTGGTCTCCTTTCAAAACAGAACAAAGAATAATCTATTTTGATCTGGGTTTTGGGGACAGTGGGCTTGATTGACGCTCTAGACAAGTACTATTATTATTATTATTATGAGACATAGCCTACTTTTGTCTACAAGAAATTTGTTTGCCATACACCCAGAATAATTGGATTAAGCCTGTAGAAGCAGCACACTATAAATGATGAAACATATTTAAATTCTTCATACAGACAGCTGTTATGGGTGCTTTTTTTTTTTGGTCAAAGCCTGAATTATTTTCAAGCTGTTAAACTCACACTGGATGAGAAATTAATTTTTGAGCAGCTTCTCTGTTGGGAGTTGTTTTGCTTCCTCAAGCTTATTTTTGGAAATTTTACAGCAACTCGGGGACACTTTCATCCAAAACCTTGTTTGTGCAGTATGTAAAAAGGCTGACACTCATGGAAACGTGGGAAGGATCATACTCTGTTTCTAAAGAAGAAGCTGCACAACCTCAGACACTTGCAAACTTCTGTTCAGCGCTTTATTTTTTGTGAGGAGAGTGGGCAGTCAGCTCCTCTTAGGATTTGCTTATACTGAGACAGTAGGAAGGTTTGGAGGAAAGATACTGCAAGAGAAGAGATGTTTCTGGACGTTTTGCTTTCTTAAGCGTCTTTTAATTTTTCATTACATTTGCAGATTTGTCTACAGCCTGAAGCCCACTTTTAATTACTTACTGATCACAACACATGTACACCGTCAGAGGTTCTTATTAGTGCATGTAAAAGACAAAGTGAAAGCGTAGAGATTTATTTAACTCTTGGTTCTGGTGTTTTTCCCTGAAGATATAGTAGTTAAAATGTCCAGTGTGTAACATTTAGGAGGATCTATTGGTATGGAATATAATATTCATAAGTATGTTTTCATTGGTGTATAATCAGCTGAATATATAAATCATTGTGTTTTCATTACCTTAGAATGAGCTGTTTTATCTACAGACGTCTGCCATTGTGGACCACCAGGTTTCTTCAGTAGCCCAGAACAGACAAACCAAACATGAGCTGTAGATAGTGGCACTTGAGTTTCACAGCAACCGTAGTTTCTCCTACAAACTTCACAGCCACTAAATCCTACACACCGATCCTTTAATTTCTGAAATTAAACAAGTTATTTTCAGTGTTTTTAGAATTAATACTTTACAGTTGTCTGCTATTAAAATTCAAAAAGTGAAGCTGATTTGTCTGCTTGTATTCGTCATTTGTTAATGTCAAACTTAAGTAAATAATAAAAAATTTGAGTTCATGGTTACTCAGTAATATATTCTCTATTCAATATTCTCAACAAAAACAGCCATGATTGAAATAATTTTTTTAATGCCATTATCTCAGGATCACAAGTTTTAGCTCATGATTTCAAGAAATCAAAAGACCAAAGCAACTTTTGTTTTCTTAAGATTACAGGATAATGAGTGTCTGGTTCATTTGATCACACCTGATTTTAGTCTTTAAGATCATCAAGATTTTGAGGGAAGACTCATAGCTGATCTGAAAAGAGTTGATACCAGAATGTACATCAGAGTTAAATTTATTTTAGGAAACTGCATTTTCTATTATGTTCCAATGCTACATCTTTAATATGTCGTCTGTGCATGCTTAGGCATGGCATTTAAAATAAAATGTAAACCATGGCCATTCTTGGCTTCCATACATTTGGAAGCTTGAGAGGTAATTTTGAAACTGAACCTCAATTACCAGGAATCCTGTAACAATGTAATGTAATGCCAATAAATTGCACACTGCATGCTCACAAGTTCTTACTGTGTACAAAAGGACAAGAGAGGAACAAGATCTATTGTTGGTCACACTAGTTTTCTCAGCACAGTGTGTTCTTTCACAGCAGTTTAGCCGACAGTTTGGATTCCACTCTTAAATTTCAATTCATCACTTGCTATGAATAGAAACGCGACCGTACTAAATAACTGAGTTTCATTTGGCCACTCAGGATGAATATTTTTACCTTGGGTAGCTTTTATCTGTCGCTGCCTCATTTTGTGTTAAAACAAGTGTAGTGTATCAGAACATTTTTGGCAAGAGCAGATTTCACAAGAAAGAACACAAAGAAAATGTTTTTTACAGTGACACCAGAGGGGGAGTAAAGTCTGTGGTTTGGATTTGTACCCTGGCGGTGGTCCAGTAGTGCATCCAGTGAGCAGCTCCACAGCAGCAGCAGCTGGCAGTTAACTGCCTTGCTCAAGGGCAAACTGGCTGTTATTGCTGTGGGGAGGCAGATCAATCCTTATTCAGGTCTCCCAAACAGGTTTTCCCAGAAGGTTATGAAAGTACAATCTAACCTCACTCATCTCCCAGCACCCCTGAATTACAGTGTGTGCCAAAAAAGATGGCATATTGATTCCCACCTCTATCCTTTGAATCACACGTGCCCCTGCCTGCTTTGGATCGAATCCTTCCAGAGATTTCTCTCCTGCTTCCCGCCTCCGCTCCCGCTTTATATCCCTCTCAGTGACACAGAAAGCTGCCATGCCCTTAAAATATTTGCGGTGCTGATGTCATAAGCCAGGAGAGGATGTGGGACAGGCTCCTGCTGGGTTGGTCATGAAACGGTATGAAAATCTTACCATTGGCTGATTAAGAGGTGTTAATGCATTCAAATTAATGCCAGCTCCTGAGATTTTGTTTTTTCTGTGTCTGCCTGCTGAGACACATGGCGGGAGAAATTAGAGGGGGAGGCAGAGAAGGAAAGCTGGAGAGAGAAAGAGAAAGAAATTGACCAGCAGTGGAGCTGAATCAGACATTGGAACAGCTCTCAAGGCCGCAGTACATAAAGACTTGCCCGACAATGAAGATTCAGTTACATGATAATGTCACAAGGCCAACTGCGGCACAACACTTTGCTCTCTGCTTCTGATACTTACACCTACATTCACTCAGATTTGTATCATCTTGGCCATGGTTGGACGACTATGTTAATAATTAACTAGGTTAATGTTTCTTAACCACACATATCTTTGCTTTAAAAAAATAAAAAAATAAATACTATATAATCCACAGCAGTCTGACATACCTGCAGAGCAGAATAAACTCCTACATGTTACATCTCTTGTTTTACCTCACATTTTTGTGTCATTTCATGTGAAAATCAGAGATTTTCACATTCACAGAGATAAAAAAGTGGGCATCCCAGCCATAGTTCAGTAAGGAACTAATGAAGTGGTAATTGCACAGCAGCAGAGAAAGCATCTGTTTTATGAGTATTTTAGCCGACTTCGCTAGCATTCAGAGATAATCGGCTTTGATTATATTCCCCACAGTAATGTTGAGTTTACTTTAAGTCTATCTACAGAATAAACTACTGATGCATTATCACCATGTTCACGTTCTGTCATTAGCTGTGATAAAGAGAGGTGATTGGGGTGTGAAGAAAGTTTGCTGTGAAAATGGTTTGACAGATGTGTCCAATTGAAAAGATAAAAATACTCAACCCTTCTTCAACTTCCTTAGAGTTGTCTTCACTCTCAACAAAATACATTGGTATGTAAAAATTGTAGAGAGCAGACACAGCTGACCAGTAACAATTCCTGCGGTCCCCACATGGTATCTCCATAGCCTCCCTTAGTCACCATGTTCCAAAGCTACACCACAACCCCTTAATACACAACTATAAATCCTTCACAGTTCCTCAGATACCAAGAAAAGTCTTGAGAAGGGCTTGTTTTTCCCGAACAACAGTCAAAAACAAAAATATATTTAATTCACGGGGGAATAAAATACAGAAATATAATATATATAATAAATATATATAAATAAATAATAATATTTTTATATTTAAGAAGCTAGATTCAGTGAATGTTTATCATTTCTGGTTGATAATTGACTTGATGTGATGAATAATTGGTTATCAAAATTCTCAATTTTCTGACAATCAACTAATTGTTTCAACACTACTGAGTAGATAATAATCCTCAAACATCTGATTAATAGAAAGTCTGTGCACTCATTACGGTAGTTGAAGGTTTAAGAGTTTCATAGATCTACACTCTGCAGATCCTGACTTGAACTCCATTTAAAGCTGATTGTCACTTGAACTGTCCATCTGCATCCCATGAAGGTGGTGTTGAACCACAGCTGCTGTCACAAGCAAACCATATTTTAACGTATGCTTTTTAATAATTCATTGTGATACTTTGTTCAGTTCATAACACTTTACACTTCCTCCCCTTCGGCAGAATTATAGCCGAAATAGAAGCCTGTGGTGCGACAACTGAAGGTCTGGACTGATGGCACTTTCCTGGCCGTCACACTGATTTTGTCCCATTTGCAAATTCTGTCCCTGCTGTGGGCAATATTACCAAGCCATACTGCTACAAAACATTCCCTGTTTATCATAGCCTTTAAAGGCTGGGGAAGCATTGCTTGTGAGCAGTGATATGAGATCTGAGTAGAATGAAACTCAGCATGTCTCATTTGATGTCCCAGCTTAGTCTTTTACGTGTGAGTCTCAGCTGATTGAACTCGATGCAGGGCAAGTGCGAACAATAAAATCTGTGTACAGAAAATGTTTCCAGACCGTTAATGTTTGCTGCACAGTATTTTGAACTTTTTGCATTTTATAAAACATTTATATGCAGAGATGGAAAGTTAAAAACTACATTTATTTAAGTCATGGGCTTAGGTACAATTGGGAAGTACTTGTTGGTAGGCCCACACCTCCAGTGATTTGCAGATTGTCTTATTGTTTCTCTATATTGTAATTTTACTTTTATGGAGGGTTTAAGGATAGAGAGATGTATTGGGAGGACTTGGTGTCATGGCCGGTTACAGGTTGTTTTAGTTGAACTTTAGCTGAAACACAGAAAATCAAGGCAGTGTGTGTCGCCATGAGTCATAAAGCTGCCTGGGAAGGCGCAGCTGCTCTCTCCATTGAACATAATGGATATTGTTCTGTGCAATGTTGCACTGGGTTTGGTGTGAAAGCCAGGTTA